ATTGGAATACAGGAGCAGTTAGTGACTGTATTTTCTAACGCTATCACGGTGAGACAGATGGAGGTAGACCATTTGTGAGTTTGACTCTTTTCTGGGCCATTCACCTGTGTTGCTTCTCCCATGGCATCGTGGCATGTGCCTTTAATCCCAGGACTGTGGGAGTTCAAGACTAACTATGAAGAGTGTAACTTCTTAGTCAGAAACTTTGGGGTCAGTCATGATGCTATGTGGCCACTGGCTGGGATCCCTAGAGGCCCAAGATAAATTCTCTAGCTCTCAGAGGGCCTTCTTACTGTTACTGGTTCTGCAGATGGAGCTTGAAAACATAATTCCCAATGGAAGCTTATCGTAAGAGGATCTTTACTTTGTCTCAAATGGGAAACTGTAAGTGAGGTTGGAGGCACTGGGTCCTGGTCTATGCCTGTTGGTAGGAAGCAAGTTCTAGTCAGAGGCCACTGGGCAAAATGGCTGATTTTAGGCCTTCAGTGTATAAGCAGGGCTGCCCCTGACAACTTTCCTTGTGTCTACCTCCCGAATGAACACAAAAAGTAGATGGGTTTTGTACATGCCTTTTTTTGAGTCTCAGGACAGCAGTAAAGCTGAACTTCCTGTTCTCTGTGTTGGCAGAAGGCCTTTTTCCTGGGGAACACAGGACTTTGTTCAAACTTGTTCATTTCTCCAGAATGCATTTCATCCTTCCTCAAATAGGTAGATCATCTCTTATACATCTTCCTTGTTAATCTGTCCTGAAAGAGGCACAAATAAGTTAGACACAGTCAAACATCACAATCTCTTTGAATAAATTACAGAAGAGAATCGCTGATTCCTCTTGTGCGTAGCTACACCAGTATTTTGAAGATACTACGTTAGAACACCAAGGGCTTTTTCTCATGCTGGTGACTGCAAAATCCAAGGGAGAAGTTTTACTAACTGTACCAGGTAAAGGGATTGAATGGTCCTTGTTTGGAGTGCACAGTCTTTCTGGAACAGAGAAATCCTGGGGATCTGAATCAGGGAGCATCTACATATTTTCAGATATATGATTAAATTCACGAGGATAATCATTGAAGGAGGATAACACTATTAAAAATGGACAGTTTCAAGTCATGGATCCCATGCTTTTTAGAGTTGGATGAAAGAAGGCTTGGGGAGAAAAAAACAGACTGGTTGACTGTGAGAGTCATAGCAGCTAGAATGGAACTTTACCCTGGCTGAGTAGAGAAACATGCTTAAGAACGCACTAGTGCTACTTAGAAAAGACAGGGACACGTCAGAGGAATTCTGGGATTAGAAACGCCATGTAACCCACTGCACAGTTATGCTGATCTGCAAGGCATTGGTAGCTACCATCATGTTGAATCATGTCCCCTGTAAATCTGAGGGTAAACCAACTCTCCCTCCTGTAAGTAGATCCTTGTCTGTATTTGATCACAACTGTGAGAAAACTTAGCGTTATAGAAGTTGGGGGCAAGAATATGAGAGGAAATAAATTTAAAAATACGCTGTGGAGTTTGCAGAGCCTTGATTGGTCTATTGCATGTGACATCATAATGAGACTTCACAAGGAATGTTAGATACCAGCCTATAGCATGCTGCTGTATAAGGCTGGGTTTTGTCCTTGTGCTTCAGACCGGCAGTTGTTTGGTGGGAGAGCAGTTGGACTCAGTTGTTTCCCACAGGCTTGGCCTTTTTCCCAACTTGTTGGATATGGACATAGTGAGTTTGTTTCCTAGGTTTTCAGTTTGGGTTTTTGGCATTTGGTGTTCACTTACTTTTTATTTATTTACATTATTGGTTTGGGTTTTAACTTATACCTCTATCTTCTTCTTCTTCTTCTTCTTCTTCTTCTTCTTCTTCTTCTTCTTCTTCTTCTTCTTCTTCTTCTCCTTCTTCATTTCAACTGCTATTCCTTTATCAGGTTCATTTACTTGTCCTGTTTGCCTTTGTTCTTGTCTATTTTATACCTTTGGTGGTATGTATTAACTGTACACAATGAGGAGGTCACCATGACTTCACATATCTGCTTGTACTGCCTTTGGATCCTAGTTGTCTGCTTTATTTCATTTCCCCACTCATTGGATGTGATAAGCACTTCCCGTTTTACAAGGGTTCAATCTCCCTGCCCACTCATGACCTGTAGGGAACAAAACGTGACACTCGTGTTTGTGGGACTGGTGAGTGTGAAGTCACACTTCTCTAGTTTCATATGTTTTCCCGAAACATTTTTCTGAAAAAGGTATTCCATTACATATGTTGCCTGATGATAAAAAGAATTGGAAAGTGTGTCTTCCCTCAGTTTTACCGACTACTGAAATTCTTGCCAATTATTACTGCTAGTTAAGACTGCACTAGTTGTTTTGCAGTTTTTGGTTTTGTTCCTGGGATTTGTGTTTGGTGTTACATATTTATATTCATATTTATGTTTATATTCACATTTATATTTTTACTTTCTTTGATTCTTCTCTCATTTAATACATCCTAACAGCATCCTCACCTCACTGACTCCTCCCAGTTGTCTCCTTGCTTCCTCTGTCTCCCAAATTCACTCTCCCTGTTTCTTTCTGAAAGGAGCAGGCCTTCCAGGGATAGTGACTGAACATGGCAGACTAGATGCAACAAGGTTTTATTAATAATGTTGTATTTTCTTTATAGGTTAATTTGTACCCATATTTTCTCTTATTAATTATGAACCAATTGTTATTATTTTGAAAATCTAGTCTTATTTTCATTACTTTTCCTTCTATAACACACACACACACACACACACACACACACACACACACACACACACATATATATATATATATATATATATATATATATATATAAATAACTCACTTTACCTCTTGCTCACTGCCTACCTCCTGGTCACCCCCTCCCACAATCTTGCCTTCCACCCTCTCCCCTTCTCCTTTGAGCGGGTGGGCCCCAGGCACATCAAGTCTCTGCTGGCCTAGATATATCCTCTGCCACTGAGGACAGACAAAGCACCCAAGGCTAGAAGAATATATCTCATGTACAGGCAACAGCTTTTGGGATAGCCCCTGTTCCAGTTGTTTATGACCCACATAAAGATCAAGCTGCATTTTTACTACATATGTGGGGGAGGCCTAGGTCCAACTGTATATGCTCTTTGGTTGGTGGTTCAGACTATGAGAGCCCCAAGAGTCCAGGTTAGTTGATTCTGTTGGTATTTCTGTGGAGTTCCTATCCTCTTTGGGACCCTGTAATTCTTTCCCCATTCTTCCATCAGAGTTCCCAAGCTCCATCTACTGTTTGGCTGTGGGTGTCTACATCTGTCTGAGTCAGCTGCTAGGTGAAGCCTCTCAAAGGACAACTATGCTAGAGTCCTGCCTGCAAGCATATTTATCCTCAATATATATGGTACACATGTTATATATTAGTACGTGTTAATATAATATATTATGTGTTATATAGTATGATATTTATGATACTTACTTTGTAATGTATAAAAATTTATTATTGGAAACTATAGTACTATTTTATGATTATAAATTATTGTGGTATATTATGCACTGATATTGTAATAATCATAATTACAAATTAAATATAATGCACTACACTAAATTTATATAGCACTTAAACATATTACACATAAGCCGTTTCATTTTATTTATTCACTTTACATCCAATATCAGCATACCTCTCCTCCCAATACCCCTCCTATATATCTTCTCCCAATTCTGCTCCAGTTGTTGGGAGCATGAATGAAGACCAAGCTGTACTTATGCTACATATGTGTGTGGGGAGTGCGGTCACCTAGGTCCAGCCCATGCTCACTCTTTGATTGGTGGTTCAGTCTCTGGGAACCCCCAAGGCATACATATACTGGACTTTGATCATTATCTCCTGAACGTTTCATTCTGTCCACCACGTTTCTACTGATACTATTACTTTTACGAAAGCTTAGGTTCCTCCTTCCTCCTGACCCACAAAAGACAAAAATATAGCCCATTTCTGCTTGTGGAACTACTTTCCTTCAAGTAAAACTGTGTCTACTTGCAGCGACTTTCCACATCTTTCAAGAGTTCACTAGTCACAGCGCTTAGTTTGTAGTCTTCCCCATAACCCCTTATAGGCTATGCTGTTGTTCATTTTCTTCGTTACAAACTGTCCTTTTGTTCCTGGATGAGGCCATTTTGATTGTGAATGAAGGGCTCTGTAGTCTATTCCCGAAATGGATGTGAAGTTTCAAGCACTCTCATAAACAATATATATATTAACCAAAGAAGGGAGCTTATTCTTTCTCCTTTCATTGTGATTATTTGGTTGTAGCATAGGTTAATACTATCAGGGATGAGTTTGGACGTAGTCCTTTGCTTTCTCTTTCCTGAAGTAATTTCTGTAAGTCTGGTATATATATTTTTTCCAATGTTTCTATACATTTGGGGGGATCCATGAGGCCTGGGCTTTGGTTTGTTGGGAGTTATGTTTTTTGCTACCCCATACGTGTTGCTTATGATTCTCATTTTTACGTGTTTTATTTCATCTTATTTCAAAATTCACACATATCTAAAATCTTTTCATACTTTATTTTTGGAAGCATAAAAATTGAAATGCCTCTGAAAAAATCATCTGAATTACAGTCATATTAGAGTATGTGTAGAACATCACCTCATTGCTTTCTGTTCTATAAAGTGTCAGGTCCCACTTGATCACTCAGGTGAATGGTTTGCATGGTAGTCTTGAAAACAGCTCATTATTACTGTGATCTCAGTATTTCCCTTTGCATGCCCACTTCACTGAAACCATCTCTGATCTTTACTAGGACTCCTCCTCTACCGGTTTGTGGTTGGGATCTTCTGGTATTTCTATGTCCTTGAGGAGCATCATTGGGTGGTTTGGGAGATCTCAGATTTCATGATAGAGAATTCATAGTTGTAAACCTTCATTCCAAAATTGCATTAATCTTTATTTCTAGCCTTGTGTGTCCCTAGTTTTACACATGTGATTAGGTGTTTGAACTTGAGCTAAACATCATGGCCAGCCACATGAAAGAGAACATCCTTGAAAAAGATTTCCGGATCTTGTTATCTCTGGGTTGTGGCTCATTCGGGGAGGTGAAGCTTGCCTGCCACCTTCCCACACGTGTACGAGTGGCTGTCAAGGTCCTCGAGAAAAACATCAACAGTGTGGCTGACATCACTTCAGAGGTGGAACTCCTTCAGTCTTTAGAACACAGGAACATTGTTCGATTTTTTCACATGGTCGACACACTGACAACAACTTATGTGATCATGGAGTATGTGGCAGGAGAGGACCTTGAGAGGTGCCTTAGGGCACTGGGATGTCTGAAAGAGGAGGAGGCTAGACCTATTTTCCAGCAGGTCGTGTCAGCGGTTCACTTCCTCCACCAAAGACACATTGCACATCGTGATATTAAATTAGAAAACATTCTGGTCGATGCGGCAGGAAATACAAAGCTTTGTGACTTTGGTATGGCAATTAAAATCACAGAAGGGCAGATGTTGGAGGAGATCTGTGGCTCCTTGCTTTATTGGGCCCCAGAGATCTTGGCAAGGAAACCCTATGATGGGCTGGCAGTAGACATGTGGAGTTTGGGTATTGTCCTCTATGTTCTGGTCACAGGGCACTTCCCATATGTAGAAGCCACCGCTGAGGATATGCACAGGATCATCACTACCACAATGTGTCCCATTCCTTACCACTTGTCAAAACCGTGTCACAGCATCATTGCACGATTACTCATGGTCCCTACCTGGTATAGGATGACAATACATCAGCTTGTGGAACGACCATGGCTAGGTCACATTCAAGAACATGGACTGCTTGCCACAAAAGAAATCCTTCCCAGGGTAGTGAACACTATGTGCACCATTGGCTATACCTGTGAAGAGATTGTGTCATCGCTAACACACAGGAGACTCAAAGATGAAGTAATGGCAACATTTAATATTTTAAAATACCAATTGAGCTGTGGGGACAGCCATCAACAAGTGGAGAAGCCATGGGCAAACCGCAGCCCTGTAGGTGCCCTTATCCCCCTTCCCTACTTGAAGAGGAGAGCCAGTGAACCTGTCTTTTCAACCTGTACAGAAGCTGGGAAGGGTCACTTTCAGAATGAGGGCATGGAAGGAAGAGGCAAGAATTGCAGAAGGTACCCCATGGTCACCATGGAGACAGTGCCCTGCTCAGATGACCCAGTGCCAGAAGGAGATGCTCTAACAGCTGATATCACTAACACTGCTACAGGGGATATTGCAGTCAACAGAAATTCCATGGACAGCCTGCCTAGTGAGCACTTCTCTCCAGTGTCAGCCCAGGATGGAACATCTACAGGGTTTCTGAACATGGGCTTCTATGCAGAAGACCCATCCTCAGGGCCAGATATTTCCAGTGACCAGCCCCACATTGGACTCACAGCTTCTGGATCCAGGATACTCAGGAGCTGGGAGCTGATGAGGAAGCGAATTTCCTGTTCATTGAAAGGACCATGCTGCTGCTGCTGCTGTTGCTGCTGCTGTCTGCCCTCCCCACGGTGAGCCCAATTCCCTGTGTTAGGTGCAACAAAGAAAAGATAGGATAGTAAAGGCCCTTAGAAAATACAGCTGGATTAGCTGCCCAGATTCACAATTCCAGTGTGGTTAGGATATGCTATTTACTATGCTCTGCAAATGACAAGATGGACCTTCTCATATGGCAAGAACATAAGATGTCTAGCACATTATATGGCACAATTCCACAGCTTTACCCTCATTTAAATGTCTGGAGAGTTGAGTCACAAGCAAATAGCATAGCATGGGGCACAGAGGGCTAGAAAATATGGAAGACAATTTGACTAAAGGGGGAAAATCTCACAGAGGGAAAAAAAGGTGAGAGCTATGGCAGATCAGGTCAGTTCAATGCTGAATAAGTCCTGTCTCTGTCAAGGCCACTAATAAATTCACTTTCACATTTCTTTTTGCTTTTGAAGTGGAGAACTGAAATGGCCTAGTAAAATACCAGCCCCATTGAGAAGTGATGCCATAGCAGAAAGCCAGGACAGAACTTCAGGTTGCTGTTTTCCTTCAATACAGAACAACAGGCTTCTGTGTCTCTCCAGGTCTTGAGTCTGAACCGTCAGTGTGCAGCTCCTTCAGCTTACCCAGTCCCATCACTGCTTGCTGGACAGAATGGTGGGCATAAGGAACATCTACATGATGAGACTCTACCTCACCAGTTTTGGGTGTGCTATATAGGACTAGTGCCCACAGCATCTAAAACCGATGCCTCTACAACCAGGAATGACTTGTCTTCTGACATAAGGATCCTCATCATCTTGGTCACTGTATTCCCTTCATCTTATTTTGTGACTGTGTTTTGGGAAGAACTGCAAGAAGCATGTAGGTCCCCTGGAAGGAGAGAGACAGGTCAAAGAAGGTAAGGGGAACAATTGGCAAATGAAATGAAGTGGGTAAAAAGAAGTGAGAGGGGTGTAGAGTGAGGAATAGATTCTGTCCTTAGGAATTTTCTGTCTAAAATTGACATGAAAAAGATGCTTGTGTTGGCCTAAGGGAGGAGTGTGGGGCAATGAAGAGTAGGAACAACCTTCCCAGGGAGTCCAGCATGGGAGGTAGATCAGCATGGCAAGTCACGAGAAGAGGGCCTGCTCTGATGTTTTTTGCATGGGTCAATGCACACAAGTAGGATGCTGCCTTGAAGCATCATCCTGTTCTGTGCTGCTGAGCTATCATGTGGCAGGAAAAAGGGGCAGCCTATTGGTCAGTCAAGTCCCATCCTCCTCAGCACTGATCAAGTCTGTCATCAATGTCAATAACAGAGGCCCTTCATGATTCTTTTTGCTTCTTTTGAGGAGAAAGTTAAATGGAAGAGTTGAACTATGCCATTGGTGTTGTATTGTAAAACATGAGGAATGCAAGACAGAAATCTGAGGTGTTCTGTAAAAATATATTAGGGTTACAGGTCACAGTATCTCTCTTCCAACTATAGAGTCTCAGCTACCATGTGTAGAGTCTTTCACCTCACTGGTGCACCTGCCCTGCTTGCTGGACTTCCCTAAGTAGTTACATGCAGCATTGTCCTGATAAAAGTCTACATCCCTAGTATTGTCATGTTTGTGGGAAAAGGCTTCCACAGCATCTAAAACAGCTGCCTCTGGAAACAGAACAGACATGCATGTAGGTCTCAGGGTCCACTCCACTTTAATCACTTCATTACACACAAGCTACCTTGTGAAGGTCCTTTGGAAGAAGGGGAGAAACTCTGAACGACCTGTTGGAGCTGGGGAATAGACAAAGGGAGATAAGAGGGAGGAATAGGGAAAAGAGGAAATAAGTGGACCCGTAGAAAGAAAAATCAAGTGTGTGCTGAGATACTTCCTGCCAATGATTAAGGGGAAATGGATGAATGTGTGAACTGGGGCTGGGGTCTTGAACAAGGAAAACCAGAACAAATGTCCCCTGCAGATAGTGTGAATTGTCAGGACATGGCAAGCCATGTGAAGAGGCCCTGCTCTGATGGTGACTGTCAAGGTAGAAAAGTGGGAGGCTGCCTCATTAAGTACACTCTTGTTCTGGGTAACTGATGGAGGATGGGGCACCTCCATCATTTGGGGAGTCTCCTGCTCCTGACTTATGCAAACTATGGCTCATCTGGTACCTGTGTCTTTGTCCTCACAGCCTCTTTCATCCAGGCCTTTCATGTTGCCTTCCATCCATCTCATGTTCCAAGAGTCTTGTATCATTTTCCTGTATCATGGATCAATTCATAACTTTCATTTGAACTGACATTTAATATTGTTCTGCTCCACTACGGCAAATTAAGTAGGCCTTGCCGGGCCTGATGCCAGGTATTGTCTCTAGGAAGCCAGCAGCCATGGGTACTACATTGTATCTACTGCCAACCAAGAATTCAGGCATAGAAAAACACGTTGGTGATCATGGTGTTGGAGATGTCATCCATTGGAAGTGTAAGGAGTACTAGTGATGTGTTTGGTGAGGTGTTTTCCAGGACACATTCCAAGTAAGGAGCAGCTCACTGGGTTGACATGGCAACTGAACTCCACAGAGAATCAAGAGACCTAATCTGTGTGAATCATGCACCCGAAGGTAAGACTGAGTATAGTAACTATCTTATTTGTTGTAGAACATGAGTCTCTGGAGCCTGATCTTAGTGTAGTGAGGAAAAGGAACACATAAGGTGGTTTATGCTAGCATCTCCTACACAGAGGGAAAGTGTTGATTGTTTACTGACAATCAACTGGAAAATGAGGGATGGCAGAGGTGTGGTAAGGCAGAAACTATCTGCTTCTTTGTACCTGGCATCCAGCTTCCATTCTGACCACCTGTCCCTGGACTTTTATCGAACACTTGGGCATACTGACAGCATTGGCCAAATCTTCTTCCCACCGATATGATATGAAGCTTGGCTCTTAATACTTTCTAGAATCCAGGTCATCTGGCGAGTCTTGTGTTGACCAGACAAAAAGCTGCTTCTATAATGGATGAGAGTAATTTTGACTTTTGTGGCATCACCCAGGGTCAGCTTGTGTTTCTGTTGCACATTAGTGAAGCTGGAACTGTTGAATGGTTGGAGGTTCTGTTGCATTCTCTAAATGAGATAGGGAAATCTCCTGTCCTGAACTTTTATTTTTTATTTTTTGAGACAGGAACATACTAAATAGTTTTTTTCCTGTTCTGTCACACTTTATGTAGACTAGGTTGCTCTAAAACTCACAGAGATTTCCCATGCCACTATATTCTGAGTGCTAGGATTGTACATGGGTATTTCTCTGTTTCAAGCAATGTACAGCAGCAATAATAAATTATTCTAATCTTTCAGTGTAGAATCATTCCAGTTCTGTGCTTTTATCATTTTGGCATGGAGAGAATTGAATTGGAGGTGCTTCTCTCAAGCCCATCCAGGGTGGACTAGGAACAGGAACCAAGCCTCAAATCTAACCTTCAGAATAGAATTCTATGTTCTTATGGGAATGGATACCTAAAGGTGGGAATTATGTCTAGAATATTTCTGTGGAGAGAAGCCAGTGGGATAGGAGATATGTGTCATAGTTGACACATCTTAGGATGAAAGCCACAGAGTGTGACTCTAACCTTGTCTGCTTTTAGTGGATCTCTCACCTGCAGTCCAGGCACAAGTCACATGATTTCAACCTGACAACCCAGGACACTCTAGACTGACTAGACAGTCTGATTGACAGAGTTATTTTCATCTGAGCCAAGGAGTCACAGATGAGGACTCAAGGTGAGTCACCGAGATGACTGAGCTATTGTTGAAGGCTCAGCTTTCACTTCATGGTCACCAATGGCAGAGGAGAGCTTCCTGTTCTCCTGATCCAACATCCAGATACAGTCTGATCAGCTGTTGACTTCGATGTTCTAGTCTGGCTTTCATGGGTCCCACAGTGCCTTTTTGCTTGTCAAACCACTTTGGATTGAGGTCTAAATCACAGAAACTTGTTCATCCTCGCTGGCTAATGGGGAGTCAGGGATGCAAGAATCTTAGTTCTCAACCACCCAAACAAAGCACTGTGTGGCACACTCTGGAATGTCTGTGATGGGAGAGGTGAACTGTTTGCATCCCAAAAAGTTGTTGAACATCTCAGGAAGACCACTGTCCTATTCTGTGTCCTTAGAGCTTTGTCATTCATGCACAGCTTTCTAACTATCAAACTTCTCTATGGTAAAAAGCCATTTTTGTCTTTGGTGAAAGGTCTGTGACACATAGGACAGTCACCTTGAACCGTTTCTGGAAAATGTCAAAATGTCATAATTGAGGCTAGGTATATGTTTTTATTTTCCCTGTATCCTCTTCATGTAACTTTTTTCACTAATTTTTCTTCTGAGATTGTCTTGTTCCATTGAAACAGACACATTAAATGCTTTCCATGGATGGGTATAAAAGTTTAAAAATCTAATTTGAAAATGCCAATTTCCCCAGAAGTTCTTATCTCTATGTAAAACAAAATAGTTGAGCTCAAGATGGACAGCAGAGGATGAGAACCTGCTGCAGGGACAGTAGGAACTGTAGTAAGATTTGCAGATTTAGGAGGGTGGAGAACTGCTGCCTTATATGGTCCCTTTCACATAGCCCTCTTCTTTGAAGGGACGAGCTCTATATATTGTGAAACATAGAGTTGCCTACTGTGGACTGAGAGAGTAGACTGAAGAATCCTGCAGGCAATCCAGAGAGCAGTGTGCCCATTTACCCAGCATAGAGGCCTCTATCTAACACAGGAAGAGGTAAACCAAAAGTTTCTCCACAGCAAGCTACAGTTAACAAGAAAACATGCCCCAGGCCTCGCCTCTCACAACATCGATTTCAGAGGATACCTTGAGCCAATACCATATCCAAGCTGCCCATTGAATGTGCCACTTCTGTCAGCAAGCCTGTAGAGAAATACCACAGCGATACTTATTTCTCTGTCTTTCTCATCAGATTTCTTACATGAGGTCCCCTCCATGCTGTTGTGTTTGCAGCCTACCTTTATTCCTGTATTCCTCCCATCACAGAAGTCATAGTC